ATGCATCACCACAGATATTTTGCCGCAGTCACCTTACATGTTCTGTATTCTGAAAGTTATTTTTTATCATTGAAGTTATTATAATATAATCCACATTCGTGGTGAACATCACCAATTGTGATAATCTTAAAATGATGGCTGTAACTGTAGGTTATCTTGTGACAATCTTAAAGACTCTTGAAATGACTTGTGGTGGCAATCTTCGTTCTCATGGGCATCTGGGCAGGATGGGAATGTTGCCACCAGGGGTATTTGTATGATAACCAAAAGCAATATTTGGCAATAGTACTAAATGATTGATCATTACAGAATCAATGGGATGAAATCATATGTCTTATTGAGCTGAGTTCCCTGCAAGTAGGAGGGATTCACCTGTAGGTGAATAAAAATCTGTTCTTGTTCAGCTCTGATAAATAGTGTCTTGATTCTCTGATGTATTTTGTTAATGTTACATCAAATAGGAAAGGTCTGTCTACTTTACAAACAGAAGCAAAACCATCATACAATTATTCTCATTTAGCAATTATTGAGCATTAATTGAAAGTTGGCATGCTGGAAAACTCACTTCCTGGGGGAGAATTATTATTTTAGAGCACCACAGATACTGTGTAATGTATATAACATATTTGAAACAGCAATTTCTTAAAAATTATAATGTTTTCCCTAGAGAATGGATTAGCTATTCACCATTAGGACCAGGTCTAATATTTATGAAATGTTCACAAATGATTAATTGTGTTTCATTTACAAATAGACTCTAATGGGAGACATTTTTATTTGAAGTGCTATTTTAATGAATTGTCTGTCTTTATGAATCCATGTCCAAGACTGAAACAATTCCTTTTTGCTCCCTTTCCTTGACCTTACACCTGAGCCTGCCACTGCTTATCATGTGTTTCCTATTTCGTCTATTCAAATCATGTGATCATTCCTTCTGTAGCCTGAACTAGAAAACCTTGGACATATTTGTGACTCTCCCTCTCCCTCACACTGCATTTCCAATCAGTCACCATGTTTAAGTGGTTCCTTCTTGCCTACCAAATAAAAGGAGTCAGCTCTCCTTAACCTGCAGATACATTCACAGCCTGGGAACCATAATGTCTTAGTTTTCCATTCTCTACCAAGCAGACTATCCTCGCCCCCACTATGAGATGCCTTTCCCTCTCTTTCTCCCTTCAAAAGGCAGCTCAAGTGTTGTCTCCTTCCTTTAACTTTCCAGATGTTTTTACTCCCTCTCCCTAGACAGAATCAGTAACCCCCTCATTTATTCTCTTATGGAAGTGTATGCATACTTCTCAGTTTTCTTTATTTATCTATGCGTCTAGCTTATGCATAAGACTGTAAGGTTTTTGAAGTTTCACGGTTTTATTTTTGCATCTTCTATGTATACCATGTTTACTTAGCACATAATAAGGCCTTAATGAAGCTTGCTTGGCTGAGTCGAAAATTCTATTAAAAGAAGAAACAAAACAAAGTTATGACTCAGCAGATATTTCATGTGAATACCACCGTGTGATTGGTAATGGAGATAAAGCAGATGTAGGTGAAAAAGAAAGTCTGACAGCAGTTCACTTAGTGGTCCAAATAGAATACTTACAGAGACATAGCAGTTTAGAGCAGAAAGGTAAATCAGAGACTACCTTCATGTAAATAACTTACTTTCATTACATTATTCTCTCTCCTCACCCTGCTGCCTGCCATTTTCTATGTTAGTTTCCCAGAAAAGCACTATTACAGTCCCTGGACCATAGTAGACACACAATATCAATGAAAGAACAAATGAAACAATTCCCCCTCTTTCATTTTACAGATAAGAAAACAGACTCAGAGATACAAAGAAGAGGAAAGCTGAAACCATCCCTTTTCCAAGCTGCCACTATATTCTCTACATTGAACTAAATGCTTTTACTTCATTTACACAACTTTATCCTCTCAGGAAAATTATACAACTATTATGTTACATAAAGAACTTACTTGAAGCTTAAAACCTGTGCCCTGTGATCACACCATGACCCTATTTTTTAATGCAGTGTTTATTGTATAGTATTTCCTCTGCCACTTGCTGGCATGGTATTCATGGACAGTAATAGAACTGATGATTGGTTTGATGCTCAGAAAATCTCTGCTTTCCTTATCTGTGTTTTTTAGATGGAAGCAAGTGACTAAATACAGGAAGCTATGATCTAGTGGCAAGATTATTAGACTTGAAGGCTGAAAATCAGAGCTCAGCTCCTAATCTTGTGATCTTACCTTGAACAAATCCTTTACCGTCTTGGTAACTCAGGTTTCTCATTTATAAAGCATAGTACATACTACCAATTTTGTAGAGTTATCTGATGAACAGATGAATAATGAATATGAAAATAGAGTTTGTCCACATACAATTAAGGTATTCTTTTTATTAAGCTGATGTAAGAATGAGGAAATGTGTATAAAAAGGCTTCCTCAGCTATACATTCATGTTCTTGTATTCTCTTTGTTACTGTTTTGCAATTTCAGTGTACCACAGCCTTAATTTGTGTAAACAGATAAAAGCAGAATAAATAAGCACTTCCTCACTAATATGACTTCTATGCAATATAGCATATTTAAATAAAATTCTGCTTCTAATTCTTTAGAACACAATTGAACAGTAATAGAGAAATAATAGTTAAAAAGACATTTATCTTTGTCATGAGCTTCCTTTCTCATAAGAAAATCAAAGCAATCCAAGAAAAGAGACAATATGAAAATTAACATTATTACACAGACAGTAATAACTCTTTGATGAGAAAAGAAGCCATTGGCAGCTTGTTTTGGCAGTAACTGAAAATATGACTTTTCAAATGTTCTGTATTAGCTGCAGCTCTGAATGCGTATATTTACAAATGAATCTGATAAAAATAAAATTTGCATTTCTCAGTTAGATAAATCATGTCCTTTATCTCAAGCAAGGTACAGAATATGTCATTTGTTTCCTGTTGATGACTTCATCTCTGCTTTTTAATGTCAACATTACCCCATGACCCAGTATCAACATTTGTTATGTTCTATTGCTTTCCATTTTTAATAAAATATTAAAAAACCAAAGTAAGAGAAATTATGATGTATTTTTCAGTATAGCTCTAAAAATCTCTGAATACAGTAGAGAGCCCTGGGGTACCAGGCATGAATAAAATCGTAGAAGGGATCTAGTTCTGACCCTCATCCTAGCATTCAGAAAATGAAGCTATATGTGGCTGAACAGAAGATATACCAGTTTTTACAGAACAGAAACAAGGAAAGAACTCCAGGCTATCTTTGAGCATTCTTCTTACTATACTAAATCAGAAAATAATCAATTTTAACACATATAACTTAATTCTTTTTTATCCAAATGATATCAGGAAAAAAGGAAGCTTTGCTCAACACTTTTATGTTAACTCTTCAGATGTGGATACTGATGGACTGATGATATGTATCTTGTAGAAAACTAAATAAATTGGATGATAGGAGATCTCAATAGCCTGGAACAATTGGCTATATCTAACAAAAGAGAATTTAACAGCGATAGACACAAAGTCAGCACTTACAGTACAAAAACTAATGGCAAAAGTACATGAAGTGGGACATATGGTTTAACAGCAGAACATAATTTTTTTCAGCAGTGGCTGTTTTTAAAGAACTAAAACTTATATAAGTTTACTCTTGTACTTTTTCCCAAATCAACTCAATTCCACTTAACATAATGGAAGTATATACAGAACAACAAAGGTGTTAAATCTGGTCTACTCTCTCCACCTGGATTCTCAATATAGATACAGACACTGACAAATTGGGACATGTAGAGAGGAAAGACCAGAGTGTTAAGTGACTCAGACCCAAGCCCTTTGGGCAAGGTTAAAAGGAATTGAATCTGTCTCTTTGGAGAAGAGAAGAACTACATTTGTTGTATGGGAAAAATGGGCATGAGAGGAACATGTATTTTGTAATAAACAAGGCTGACTGATTGAATGGAAAGAATTTAAGGTACAGAGCGCATGAGTTTGAGTATTGGCACCATCGTTAGTCAGTGGTGTGACCCTGAGAAAAATCTCTAAGAAACTGCATCTCAGGTTCTTGAGCTACAATATGAGAACAGGAATATCTACCTTGCAAGAGTCTTGTGAAAACTAAATTAAACGACGTATGTAAAATATCTACAGTACATGGAATGCATTTAATAGCCAACCACAGTCTGGGCATAGTGGCTCATGCCTGTAATCCCAGAAGTTTGGGAGGCTGAGGTGGGCAGATCACCTGAAGTTAGAATTTAAGACCATCCTGGCCAACATAGTAAACTATCCTGGCCAACATGGTAAAAATAAAATAAAATAGCTGGGTGTGGTGGCAGGTGCCTACAATCTCAGCTTCTCAGGAAGCAGAGGCAAGAGAATCACTTGAACCTGAGAGTCGGAAGTTGCAGTGAACTGAGACTGTTCATTATACTCCAGCCTGGGTTAACAGAGAGAGATTTCTCTCTCTCTCTCTCTCTCTCTCTCTCTCTCTCTCTATATATATATATATATATATATATATATATATATATATATATACATACATAGAGAGAGAGAGAGTCAACCAACATTGACCTTTCCAACCAGCGCTCAGGTAGAGTCATTAGTGATTTTTTTTAAATTGCATTTTAGGTTTTCGAGGGGACGGAAGGCAGAAAACCACACTGCCATGTGTGTACCTATGCAACAATCTTGCATGTTCTTCACATGTACCCCAAAACCTAAAATGCATTAGTGATTTTTATTAGATTTTATTAGATAAGTATCTTGTAGAAGGATTATATAAGCAGATATGAGAAGGTTAGGCATCTGAGATCCTTGCCAATGCAGCAAGATTGTTTATGTGTTGACCAACAACATTTGTTGTACTTTATTCTAATAAGGATTATTATTTAAAATAGTGGATGCCTTACAAGTTATATTGCCTTATAAAACTACAAGAAACTTTCACTAATATATGTAATAAAATCGTGCTTATTTACTTACCTATAAAGTGCAGAAAGGGGCCTCTTGTTTCCAGGTTTTGGTCTGTATGGTTTGGGCTCTCCTGCCATGTTGATATCTGAAAGCATAAAATAAAACAGCACTGATTAAGAAAATATCAAACCATTTGAGAAAAGTAAATCATAAACTTCTATTTTTCTTTTTGCTATTTGTTTATGCAAATATTACACACCATTAATTCATTCAACATATATTTATGGAGCATTTACTCTCTGCCAGGCACTGTTTGAGATACATCATGTACAAAACAGATTATGTCTCTGCCCTGTGGAACTTACATTCTACTGGGGGAAGAAAGTAAGAAACAAACATAACCAATAACAAATATATATACATATTAGAAAACGATGAGTACTAAACAGTCAAAATGTTGAGTAAAGTGAGGAGAATCAGGAATGTTTCCCTATGCCCCTAAAAGACAGGGTCTTGCTCTGTTGCCCAGGCTGGAATGCAATGGTGCAATCACTGCTCACTCTAACCTTGAACTCCTGGTCTCAAACAATCTTCCTTCTTCTACCTCTGAAGTAGCTAGGACTACAGGCATGTGCCACTATGCCTGGCTAATTTTTTAAATTTTCTGTAGAGATGAGGTGTGGCTAGGAGGCCCAGGATGTCTCAGATTCTGGCCACAAGCAATTCTCCTTCCTTAGCCTCCCAAAGTGTTGAGATTACAGGTGTGAGCCACTGCGACTGGCCAGAAATGCTTCACAAAACAAAAAGAGAATGAAATATCCTTCTGACTTTCAATTTCCGCTAAGAATTTTTCAGTATGCATAAACATTTGGATGAAATATAGTTCTGTTCATAGGAGAACTTATTAAATTTCCCATGGTATATTTTCCATTTATATAGAAAAGGAAGCTACAAGGGTTTGATCATAGATCATACCGTGTTTACTAAAGAAACAACAAAATGCACTCAGCAACTGGAATATGCAGTTACAGAATTCCAAGGTGGTCAAAAGGAGAAGAGAGCACATATTTTTGCCTTCATGAACTGAAAATATTATCGTCTCTGAGACAGACAAAAAGAGGTTTAAGTATGTGACAAAACAGTCTATGCATACAATTGACTAACCTCAATTTAAAGATATATGTAAAACTGTTAAGAAATTGGAAAGTTGGGTGGAGAAGGTTTGGAAGGTAATATAAATAACTAGATTGAATAAAGTTATAATTTCCAAATGATGATAGGGAAATCTAAAGGAGATGAGCTACAAGAAATCAGGGATATTATTCTGACAGAAAGGAAAGGGAAAACTTCTATTTCTTGCACAGTGGACTACATGTACTGAGCTATCCACCACTGAAAACAACCAAAAATTCTGGATAAAATTTGAATGTATCTTTTAAAAAAACGTAACATAAAACTAGCAAAAAAGTAAGGGATTTGAAGAATATCCCACACCTGAGTGGAAATAGGAAATCAAATAGAAAAAGAACACTGCACCTAGCTTCTTCCTTAAAGATATTTGCTGCAGCCAGAACATGAGTTTTAGTTTTCACATCCTTGTGGTTCAGTGAAGACAGGTGACTATGCCCAGGTTAAAGAATATGAGACAAATAATCACTGGATTCAACATATGTGACAAAAATCTTTAGCAACTAGGAAGAGAAGACAAATTCCTTACTTAAGAATATACACAAAAGTCTGTATTAAACATTATACCTAATAGTGAGACATTGGGAAAATTTGCTTTAATATAAGGGAATTTAAAAGGACACCCACTATATTCAACTCTATATAACATTGTACTAGATGTCCTAGTCAGTGCAGTAAGACAGGACAGCAATTTTAGAAATGAGAGAGAAGAAATAAAACTGTCACTAATTGCTGATGATACATGGGTTTACATAAAAAATTGTAAAGCGTCCACAGATTATTATAATTAATGAGAAAGTTTAGTAAGTTTATTGAATGCAAAGTACAAAATTCAATTGTATATCTCTATACAACAATCCATATACAACAAATACGTCTAAAGTATATTATTTATATATTATAAAAGGCAAAGTACTAAGGGTAAATCTATTATAACATTTGAAAAACCTTAATGGAAGAAATTATAAAACTGTATTGAAAAATCTTACAGTAACCTTACATAAACAGAAAAATTAGAAGATTCAATATAATAAATATGTCAGTTCTCTTCAAGATAATTATGGATTCTGTGTAATTCCAGTGAATCCCAAATATTTTTTATGTGTATGCCGGAAGCTTGACAAGCTGCTTCTAGAATTTATACAACAGAACAAAGGCCAAACATAGCCATGATATACTTGGAAAAAAGGTATGAAGTTGGTAAAATTGCCTCATCAATATTTGTTTTAAAGCTGTGGTAATTAAGACCGTGGAATTGGTACAAAGATAGGAAAGGGACCAATGGAGCAGAATAGAGAACCACGAAACACATACACCTGGGTATGTGACAAACCTGTACATGCATGCAATTGACATATATACCACATGGAGCTGACATAGCAGATCGGTGAGGGAAAGACTGGTTCTTAAATAAATGATACTGGAATGATTGGTTATCCACAAGGACAAATATAAAATTGAACATCTACCTACGCCATACCAAAAAAATCAATTACTGTTGCTTAAATATGAAAGGCAAAAATATAAAATATTTAGAAAGCAATAAAATAGAATATCTTTATAGGCTAAGAGTGTGGGAGGATAACCTTAAACCAGACACAAAAAATCATTAACCTTAATATATAAAATTGATAAATTCTGCTTTATTAAAATTAAGAATTTCTGGTCATCAAAAGCCACATAAAGACAGTGAAAAGAACCGTAAGTTTGACAAAGGATTTGTATCTAGGATACATAAGAAATTCATGCATTAATAGGAAAAAGAAGCAAAAACCTGGTAAAGGCACTTTACACAAGAGGAAATATGAATGGGGAATAAACACTTGAAAAAATTCTCAAGCTCATTAGTAGTGGGAAATGCAAGTTAAAACACCGTGAGATACAAATGAAACCCACTGAATTTACAGTTTACAAAGTCTGATAATATCAAGTGTTGGCATTTTTGAGCAACTAGAATGTGTGTAGAATGCAGATGTAAGTGTATGGTGGTAAAAACCTATTTTGAAAAATAATTCAGCAGTTTCTAATAAACTTAAAATTTTAAAACTCTGTGATCCAAGAAGTATGCACTTAAACTTTTACACATGTGTACCATATGATACATACAAGTGTGTTCATTGTAGTACATTGGAATTGAAAAGATTTCTGGGAAAAACCCTACAAATATCCATTGTGTTTTTAATAGGATAAACAAATGGTAGCATATTTACAAAAAGGAATACTATACAACAGTAGAGAAATGACAGATGGAGGGAGGGGGAGGGGGAGAGGGAGGGAGGGAGGGAGGGGGAGAGAGAGAGAGAGAGAGAGAGAGAGAGAGAGAGAGAGAGAGAATATGAATTAGAGCCATAGGAAACATTAATAAACTCAGAAAACTAACATTGAATGAAAATAATGTTCTGGAAAAATACTGGCAGTATAAATTCTTTCATGTAAATTGAATCACAAAATTGAATGATAGATTGTATAAGGATAAAGATATACAAGATAAAACTAGAAAAAAAAAGCTTCTACACAGCAAAAGGAACAGTCAGCAGAGTAAACAGACAACCCACATAGTAGGAGAAAATCTTCACAATCTATACATCTGTTAAAGGACTAAAATGCAGAATCTACAAAGAACTCAAACAAATTAACAAGAAAAAAAATAATCCCATCAAAAAGTAGGCTAAGAATATGGATAAACAATTCTCTAGAGAAGATACACAAATGGCTAACAAACATATGAAGAAATGCTTAGCATCACTAACTATCAGGGAAATGCAATCAAAACCATAATGAGATACCACCTTACTCCCACAAGAATGGCCATAATCAAAAAATCAAAAAATAATGGATGTTAGTGTGGATGTGGTGAAAAGGGAACACATCTATGCTGCTGGGGGAATATAAACTAGTAACAACCACTATGGAAATCAGTGTGGAGATTCCTTAAAGAATTAAAAGTGGAACTACCATTTGATCCAGTAAGCCTACTACTGGATATCTACCCTGAGGAAAAGAACTCATTATAAGAAAAAGGTACTTGCACATGCATATTTATAGCAGCACAATTAGCAATTGCAAAAATATAAAACCAGCCCAAAGGCCCGTTATCAACAAGTAGATAAAGAAATTGTGATATATATATATATATATATATATATATATATATATATATATATGAGATGAAATACTACTCAGCCATAAAAAGGAAGTTACTGGCATTTGCGTCAACCTGGATGAAATTGGAGGCTGTTATTCTAAGTAAAGTAACCCAGAAATAGAAAACCAAACAAACATCGTATGTTTTTCACTCTTTTTTTTTTTTTTTTTTTTTTTTTTGAGACGGAGTTTCGCTCTTGTTACCCAGGCTGGAGTGCAATGGCGCGATCTCGGCTCACCGCAACCTCCGCCTCCTGGGTTCAGGCAATTCTCCTGCCTCAGCCTCCTAAGTAGCTGGGATTACAGGCACGTGCCACCATGCCCAGCTAATTTTTTGTATTTTTAGTAGAGACGGGGTTTCACCATGTTGACCAGGATGGTCTCGATCTCTCGACCTCGTGATCCACCCGCCTCGGCCTCCCAAAGTGCTGGGATTACAGGCTTGAGCCACCGCGCCCGGCTGTTTTTCACTCTTAAGTGGGAGCTAAGCTATGCGGATACAAAGACATAAGAATGATACAATGGACTTTGGAGACTCGGGGAAAAGGGTAGGAGGGGGTGAAGGGAAAAAGACTACAAACTGAGTTCAGTGTATACTGCTTGGGTGATGGGTGCATGAAAATCTCACATGTCACCGCTAAAGAACTTACTCATGTAACCAAATACCACCTGTCCCCCAAAACCGATGGAAATAAAAAATTTTCTAAAGAAAGAAGGCAGAGATAAGCAATGAATCCAGGATGAAGGTTATCTCTAAAGGAGTAGAAAGATATGGGACTTGGAAACGACACCCAGAAAATTAAAGTTAATAGT